CAAACTTGGAACAGCTTAAAATCCTGCAATAATATTTGTAATCCCCATCTGCCTATCTCAGGTCCTCGGGGCGAACACAAGAGGTAGACAAAAGTGCCGTAAGATCCTGGCATGGTGTCTCCGCGACACCCTTTGATTTTCGTCTTTTCAACATGGGTTTTTCCAGCAGGACGGCTGCCTTGAGGGGACAGAGCTCCATACAAAGCATGAGCCTTGTGCATTGCTGTTTCCGGATATTGCCAAGGCGTTTGATACCATATCCCATCACACACTGTTTCGTGTCACTGTAGCTGCTGGTCTAACAACTGCCTTGGTGTTGTACCTTCAGCCCCTTTGCGGTCCATAGTTTAACTGGCAGGAACCACTACTCCTTGTGGTCAGGGCGTCCGGCAAGGCAATCCTCTGTCTCCGCTTCTTTTCATCATGGTCGTCGAGGACATTGTCACAGCTCCTCTGCCCAGCGTTGGATAGGACCTCAACGGCCATCGGATTAGCAGTATCGCTTATGCTGATGACCTGGTTCTGTTTGTGGAGGAAGTCCCCCTCGGCTTCAAGAAAAACTACATCTTTTATCCGAAGCCCTTACTCAAGCTGGAATGGCATTCAATGCCAAGAAGTCCCTGGGGCCTCACCATTGCCAGGGATGGAAAGAGAAAGTGCATGGCCCTGTTACCAACCACCTCCGAGTGCGAGGGTGGCAGCATCAACCCTCTTGAGTCAGGGGATTCAGTTCGCTATCTCGGCCTTCAGTTTAACCGGAAGGGCCGCGTGATCCCCAAGCACACTGGCAAATTGGACTCTCTGCTCCAGGAGCTCTTGGGGGCGCCGATAAAGCCGCAACCGTGGATGCTGTTACTACGAACATTCTTGGTGCCCAAATTCATCCATGAGCTCGTACTGGGTCACGCGCACAGGAACACTCTGTGAAAAGTGGACTGTCTGATCCATGCGGCGGTGAGGCTACTTCCATGCACACATCAAAGATGGAGGCCTGGGGCTGCCTTGTTTTTCTACTTCTATCCCGTTGCTCCAGGTGTCATGACTCGAGAAGATAGCATCCCATCCCACCACGCTGTTTCAGATTGTTCAGCGCCAGGATGCATTTGGTCTTCTGCAGTGCCGGATGAGCTGGCCGTGCAGAGTTAACGCTGCTGCCGTCACAACGAAGGCTGAGGCACGGGAGGAGTGGAAGACTACGATCCTGACATCCTTCTACGTTCGGGAGCTGGGGGTCCCCAGGATCGACGCAGCCAGCCACGATTGGCTATTATGCCCCTCCCGAGTGTTCCCCTGCCTGTATCTAAGAGGGATCCAGTTGAGGGGCGGTGTGCTCCCTACGAGATCAAGGAGTGCGCAGGGTGCCGATCGCCAGACCACCGACAAGACTTGTAGGGGAGCCTGCCGGGCCCTGGAGATGACCAACCACGTCCTGCAAGTTTGTGAGATGACGTATGATGCCTCATGTGCACGGCACAACCATGTGGTGTAGCACCTGGATCAATTCCTATGATGGCAGGGCCTCTGTCCGAGTGTCGAGCCCATCATAACATCTGGCCCTTCATTCATTAAACCGGGTTTACTTGTGGAAACGATGAACCGTCTCTGGGTTGTGGATGTCTCCAAAGTGTCCGGTTACCGAATACGGGAGACCTGGGACATCAAGGTCTCCAAATACAGACAGCCTGACCACATCGCCGATATTTACTGTTGGGCCGCTGTTTCCCCTCCTGTCTCGGTGCGCTACCTCCCTGTCATCATTTCTAACCTGGGACTGCTGTATGAACCATCCGGTGCTGGACTACGGACTTTGGGCTTGAGCCGCAGGGACTGCATGGACGTTGGTCTCCTGACCATCGCAGGCTCGCTCAAATGTTACGATGTTTACATGCGTGGAACTGGGAAAGGTTAATTCCGGATCTTGGGTGACATGCGATTAATGACACTGCCATAAACGGCGACTCCACTAGTGTGACCATCTTTAGCGGATTTTCGCTCTCAGAGAGGTTCGCCCCTCTGATAATTTATGATAAATATAGGGGTGGCACGCTCTCATTGGTAATTGTGGGGAAAACCTTTTTGAAATGTTTGAATTGAGATGGGATTTTTGAAATGATGAAATAACAATACGCGATGCAATTGCAAATCTGTCAGATAAAAGTACAAAGCACAATGAATATGAAGGTATGAGAATTATTTAAAGTCAAAAGAAACAGGTCAAGAAATGAACTGAAAATTTATTAAATAAGCTTGAGGAAAGTATTTGAGAAAATTAATAGAAAATATGTAAAGTAATGGAAACTAAATGTGAAAGATGAATATGTAATCAAAGTCATGTTTATATGGGAATGTGAAAACCTGGGATCACGCTGTTCACTAAAAAAAGTTGTTTTTAAGACGTGGAAAACTGAAATTAAACTTTTACAAAGAATAAAATAAAGCCAAATCCAGTCTCAACATCTGACTGATTGCACAATCAGCCATAATAGTAATAATTAACAGTTCAATAGGGCCTTTTGCTCGAGCAGGTTGGACTAGAAGACCTCTAAGGACCCCTCCGGCTCTGTTCTGATTATGATTCTGAGTTGAGCTTGCCTCCAGATGGGGTGGGTGCTCCACCACTGAAGGTTTTCAAGAAGAGACTGAACAGCCACTTGCCTGAAATGGTTACAGGGTCCCCTGCTTGAGCAGGGGGCTGGATTAGAGGACCTTCAAGGTCCCTTCCAACTCTTCGGCTATTCTGTCATTCTGCTGGGAGCTGAGAAACAGCCCCGCCCACCTATCTCACCGCTTCTCCTTGCTCCCTCAACAGCAGATCTGACCGAAGGAAGTCCCAAAATAGGCACAGCTAGAGGAACATTTCCACAAATTCTCTCCTGCGTCCTTTTTGGGGAGCATTCAAATCTCCAGGGATCAATACATCGATTGATTAATGCCTTCCTTCAAGGCCAGGGGAGACCCACGTTCCTCAGGGCAGGCCAGGATGGAGGCTTCACTGGACCCAGCCTGGTTGCCAGAGTTGGTGCACTCTTCGCTCAAAATCGACTTTCCAATACTGTTACAGGCATTCCTCGACTTACAACCACAACTGAGACCAGAATTAGGGTCACAAGTCGAGGTGGTTTTAACACCAGGTCACCAGGGAAAAGGGGGAGGGGGGGCCTGAAACTGATATAAATTTGTGCACTCGGTCCCTTTGTTCAGCGCCACGATCATTTTGCTTGCTGAAGGGGCATTAAGCGGGGAGTACCTGCATTGGGTTGGCGTGTTGAAGCCGCATCAGGGGGAGAGAAAAGACTAGAAAATAAGTTAGCACTTAGAAAAAAGGATTTGCACAACATACTCAATCCAGGTGGATAAAACACAAATACAATGTGGTTCCAATCGTGGCAACTTTTAAGTCAGGTGGACTTCAACTTCCAGAATCCCCCCAGACAGGAAGCTTTGAGAGGGGTGGATTTCCACCTCCCAGAATTCCCCATCCAGTATGCTTTAAGAGAAGTGAACTTCAAGTCCCAGAACGCCCCCCAGCCAGCAGGCTTTGAAGGGTGGGTTGCATTTCCCAGAATTCCCCAGCCAGCATGCTTTAAGACGCGGGTCTTCAAACTTGACAGCTTGAAGACTTGTGGAATTCAACTCCCAGAATTCCTCCTCCTCCTCCAGTCATGTTAGCTCAGGAATTCTGGGAGTTGAAGTCCACAAGTCTTAAAAGTTGCCAAGGTTGGGCACCCCTGTAGTAAACCCAAACCAGATTATGTCTTCCTGTGATGGATGACCTACTCCATACACTATGCTGAACCACAAACGCATCCTGGCTTGCTGTGCAAATGGTCCCATTTTGTGCAGGAGAGTCCAAAGAACCGAAAGTAGAGTAGCTACTGGGAGAGTAGCCAAACTGAGACTTCCAAAAGGTTACACAACCACAACAGTATCAGCAGGAGTTCTGTCCAAACGCCCAGTTTATCAGTTAAAATTTACTTTGATTCCCCCCCCCCAAAAAAAAACTTATTTGGAATTAATTTACATTTTTACCCCACCCAACCCTTGGTGCCAGGAGTTATGGGTGCATCGCTGGAGGTGAAGACTACTGCATGGTATAACTAGGAGAATAATGGTTATAATTATGATGTAAAATGTATATTCAAAAGAAAACCACATTGTATGAGAAAAATGGTTGCAATCAGGGTGTATAAAACTTATGTATACTTAAAATGAGATTTGATACAACCATACGCTGGCATTGCAGAAATGGAAACGCGATGTATAATAAATGAAAATGTATAATAAAAAAGACCACACAATTATTTGTCCAGAATATCGATCTCTCGCTTGGTTGGGACTAGATGACCTCTGAAGTCCTTTCCAAGAGTGTTGTTATTCTGTTCTTCCTGCCTCCTTGCGCGAGGAAAATTTTTGGAAGGAAACATTGCTGGAAAGATTTGAGGCATAGAATGATTAAAGTGAGATTTTGTTTTCCAGATGTATCTTCCACTTATGGCTGTACTCATTTGCCACTTATCAGGATGTTAAAAACTTCAGACTTTTCAAAGTTAGGGCAGAGCCCACCTCAAAGGGTACTTAAGACCCAGGTTGACCCCCATCCCACCCAAAAACTACTTACAAACTGGTTCCAAAGTTTCAAGCCACTGCAGGACCCCCACATCCGTGTTGCTACACCCTTACAACTGACTGCAGGGACATAGCCCCCATCCTGCTGGGTAGCAAGCCTGACTCACTTAACGTCCTCGGTCAGGGAGAGTAGGGGTTCAAGTTGTTAAGCGAGACCATCTCTTCCCAGGCTCTATTTGGACTGCAATCATTGCGGTCACAGAAAGTGTAAAGAATTACCTGCAAATTAAGTGCTTACATACTTGCATGTGTTTATTTGCACCTGTAAAATTTTGTCGGAAGACACCGATCTTGAGCCACGATCCCCCAAATCAGAACCCAAACACTTGGCAGTTTTAATGTTTTGATAATTTATTAGGAAAAAATGCTTTTTATATACGTCCTAGTTCAACGGTACAAAATATAATTAAAGTTGCAGATAATACAAAAACACAAGCAGAACAAGTGAAACGAAAACACATTTTTAAGGAAGAAAAAAAATAACCAGCACACCCATTTGTGACACACAAAAGTATTTGTGCGGACAAAATCTGGGATGAATTAACACTTTGGCAATGCAGTGCAGTCATTTCAAGTGCATTTTTTTGTTTATTGACTGGGAGAACAAAACACACAAAGTCAACACACAAAGTCATTAGGGAGTGTCGCAGGATAGCCAGTGACCAAAAATAAATACTTTTCCATGAGGCTTTTCTTGAAATCTTGAAGCTCTTGCCATGGATTATCTCTGCGTACATTCATTTATTTTTTGAAATGCAGATTTTCTGGCACCCCTTTGACACGAGCATTTTTGGTCTCTCCTGAGGCCCCTGGAAAGGGTGGGTGGGGGGTTCAACGGGGCTGCTGAACCTCCTTCCTCCTCCCACCTATGACCTCCCACCTCAAACCTGCCACTCAATCTACCCCCACCCTACCTCTGAACAAGAACACCTAACACTTATCCCCACCTATCAAGGAGATCCCTAGGCAAAACAGGGATTTCTCCCTTGCTAACAGGTGGGGTTTGCTTAACAGGTTTATAGACAAAAGGAAAAAATACAGGATTTAAGTGCTATAAAAAACAACAACTCGGAGGACCCAAGTCGTTATTCCCTTGCATTGTTTAATAAGCTCTACAGAATATTTTTTATTTCTTACAGATTTAGGCTCTTCTGCCTTCTGATGCCTCATGGTTTATTGCTTGTACAGCGTTTCCCCACACTCCTCTCCTCCTTTGCTTCTCTCGCCTCTTCTCCCATCTCGAGGCTGGTGAGAAGGAAGCCCACTCCTCACCACCTCTTCTTCCAGCCTCCGATCCCCTTTTCTTCCTGGCCACCCTTCCCCTCCTGACATGCTCCTTTCCTTTCCAAGGCTGGTGGGGTTTAAAAAAAAAAAAGGCTGAAAAAAAAACCAGCCCCCACCAATATGAGCAGCTCAATAAATTCTCCCCTTATCAAAACCCTCCAGGCCGGATTCCCTTCTGGCACCATCAACAGCAGAACGTCACACACCACCTACAAAATTGTAGAGCGGTAGGACATTCTCACGTCCCGACTACCAAGCCCCCAAAACTTTTTGAGTCTTCCTCCCCCCCTTTTCCTTGTCAAGGAGGGGCCAAAACAATGAGACAATCAGGGTTTTTCTTCCAAGAAGCTGCCTCTTAACACCCCCCACAATCGCATCAGCACCAGTCAAACTGGGGGCACATGCTCTGCACGAAGGGCTTTGAGGAAGGAAACGGCCCCCCTCCCCCTCTCATACATGCCCCCCATTTTTTTGGTCAACTGGAACACAGGTGGGCTAAGGCACTAGGAAGTCGGTTTCGGCTCCTCCGCAGCTGACTTTTGTTTCCTGAGAGGTCAAATTTGACAACCTGGAAGGTGTTTTTTTCCCTGTGCCTTTTCTTCTGCTGAGTGCAGAATTGCTACCGAGGGCAATTTTTTTTAAAAAAAAAAAAAAAGTCCAGAAAGAAGCTGGATAAAAATCACAGCCACACCGGAGTTTCCTTCCGCGTTCACTGGACAATGTTGTTGTTCAGAGTGCAAGGATCGATCTGGGGAAAAAAGGGAGACGTGTAAAACGGAGATGAAATAAATATGCTTCTTTGTGCAAGCTAAAAAGATCTAAGAGGTTTCTTAAGAAGAGGCTGGACAGTCGCCTGTCTGGAACGGTCTAGGGTCTCCTGCTTGAGCAGGGGGGGCTGGACTAGTAGACCTCTGAGGTCCCTTCCAGCTCTATTGATTGAACGAACTCACAACGGAAAGACCCTGCTGCTTACAAGACCCGAGGGTAGTAGCCCCTCCCCAATTCCCTTCAGAAGCAGCCCTCACCTCTGTGTAGGTTGGTGGCGGCATGAATTTGAACTCGGGAGCGTACATGAAGATGGGGCTGTCGAAAGAATTGTCCAGCTCATCCAAGAGAGGAGTTGTGGGGCTCTCGATCCGGTGGTCTTCGGGGATGATATCCAGATAGCATGGAGGTGCTAGAGGGGAAGAGAGCAAAGGTCAGTTCTGGAAGGTCAAGGGGGGCCCGCAGAGGACATCGCAAGGTTTAGACCAGGGGTGTCCAACCTTGGCAACTTTAAGACTTGTGGACTTCAACTCCCAGAATTCCTCAGCCAGCAAAGCTGGGAGTTGAAGTCCACCAGTCTTAAAGTTGCCAAGGTTGGACACCCCTGGTTTAGATCCTTTGAAGCGCAGCAAGAGGCTGCTCTGCAACTACAAAACCAATCAGAGAGAAGGCGGCTCATATGGTGGTAGGTAGAGGTTCCTCAGATGGCCCCACCACCATCACACAGCCCACCTCCAACAGAGGTAGGTGCGGAGACTGCCCTTCCTTCCTCCCCCTGGACATGGGAAGCAGGCGGGACTTAAAAGGACCTCGGAGAGGCTTCCTCACCTTCTGGCGCATCGGGGATGTTGAGGTCCACCCAACTCATCTCGGAGCTGGTCTGGCTGGCCATGCTGGAATTGCGGCTGCCAAAGCTGGACTTGTTGCCAATGACCAGGGGCAACTCCAGGATGATCTTCTTGGAGCCGGGGACGCTGACGTAGATCTATGGAAGGGGCAAAAGGAACACGGGTGAGGGGGCTTTGCTTGGTGGAAAAGCCACACCTGATTAAGGGGCTCCTTCCTCCAAAGTTTAATCCCACAGGCAGTCAAAACAGGGTCACCGGAGCACGTCCTTGGAAAGTGGCTTAGGCCCTGGGCTTTAGGCTCTGGGGCCAAACCAGAGCCAGTTTGAAGCTGGACAGGAATTAAAAACTGGGCCCTGAGGCTTGATCTAAGTGCTTGAAGAGGGCTCTGTGGTTAGCTCCTAGCACTGATGTTAACTAGCTCAAGGGTCTCCTCCAACCTTGGCAACCTTTTAAGACTTGCTGACTTCAACTGGCTTTCCTGGTTGAGGAACTCTGGGAGTTGAAGTCCACAAGTCTTAAAGTTGCCAAGGTTGGAGACCCCTGCCTTAGAACACCTGGGCCCCTTTAAGACTTGTGGACTTCAACTCCCAGAATTCCCCAGCCAGCAGAACTTTTAATAGATGATGAGCATGGCTGGCTGGGGGGATTCTGGGAGTTGAAGTCCACAAGTCTTAAAAGTTGCCAAGGTTGGAGAGACCCTTGAGCTAGATGGGCAATGATACCAGCTGCAGGAAAACCAGCAAGCTCAAGACAGCCCCAGGGAGCCCCCCCTTTCACCATCTTCCTCTTCACAATCCCCACTTCCTCTACGAAGACCAGATGAGGTTCCTAGCTGCGTCATGAAACGTCCGCCAGGAAACCAAGCAAGCTCAGAGACCTCACAGATAAAACCCTGAGCTACGAATATCCCCTCTCTCTTCTACTGATTTAACTAGCTCTAACCCGACTTGCAATAGGGCAAGAGTTGTCGGAGCGGGCCTCTTTTGCCTCCAAGGGGGCTCACCTGCAGGAAATACTCCACTCGCAGGATATTGCAGCCCAGAATGGATGGCTTGATCTTCCTGACTCGGAGCGTCTTTCCCCGCCAGGACTCGGACATGCCGGACGTGATGTGGTTGCCTCGGACGCAGGAGAGCTTCTGGGAGAACATCTTGGTCTGCCCATTGGCCAGGTAGGTGTGCTTGGCCACAATGGCTGCCTTGGGCACCACGATCCGGGAGCAGGTGTTCTCAAAGTCGGCATTGATGCAGATGTCATCACCTGGAGGAAGGCAGGGGAGATGATGGTGTTAGACCCTCAAGAGCCCTCAACAGCCTTTGCACTGAGAAAAGACTCTGTATTCCAGTCACCTATAAATCCCTCAAATTAATTCAATGTTTCCCTGTGAGGTTTTCTAAACAAAACACCCCCAAGATTTCACATGCGAATGCAGATTCTACACAAAAACCTAGATACGTTGTTTTATCTATTTAAGGCAAGATTTTTCACTCAAATCAACCCAGATCTACACACACAAAAACCCTAGGTAACCCCCTCCAAAAAAACCCCACCAGTTTTAAACTAAATTTTCACCTAGTGTTTTCCACACTTAACATCCACCCAGAATCTACACAAACACCTAAGATAACAAACGAGCCTTGAATGAAATTTTTACCTATTAAACACCTGCAATATAATGTCATGAACATAGAAAAGCTTAAGATTTTGGAATGAAAACACCCAGAATCCCAGACAGAGATCAAAACCCCAGATCTGGACTTAAAAACTCAAGTGTTGGCAACCCTGTTTTTTATCTGCTCCACCTTCAATGGGTGAGCTCAATGAATTTTACCAATAAGGTTTACCAGATGGGAGGTAAAACGCAGAAGAATTGCCATGCTGCAGGAATCTCACCTTCACAGAATCCTTTGCGGTCAATCCTGGCACTAACAGAGACGTGCCCGTCTGGGATGAACATACAAGAAACTTTCTTCTCCTTTTTGGCAGAGACAGGAGACTGTGGAGAAACAAAATAAAAGTCAAGATACTTGATAACAAGCATCTGATCCACTCTAAATTATGTTCGACTGGATTTTTTTCCTTGCAAACTCTTCCCTAGTCAACTTCCTTCAAGTCATAGTTAGAAACTAATGATCCAGAGACATTCTGCTTTGCTTCCCCTTGGACGCAAGCGATTAACTCCCACCCAAGGAAGTCACTGCACAAGCCCAAAACTTCACCCAAAGTTTGGGAGAAGATTTGCAGAAAAAGACAGAAAAACATCCAGGCATTTAAAGCTGCAAATTCTAACTAATGTAACCCTGGCGCGATTGATGGACAGCAAAGCTCAAAGTAAATCAACAGGGAGATAGTTACCATCAGATCTGGAGTGTTGACGTCAATCTGATCCATCACTTCGAATCGCTTCTTCACCTCTTGGGTTGGGAAGGAGGGGCGATCCAAGGAGGCCTTCACCCAGTAATCCACACAGCCATACTTCCCCTTAAAAGTGGTGCCGAGGGGCCTGAAAGAAACCCAAGCAGGAGGTTAGACAAAGGAGAACAAGGGCCGACCCCCCCATGATGGATGGGGAGGATTTCACACCGATTGATTAAATAGTCTTTAGTTGATCTCTTACTTACCCTTGGGGCAGTTCAAAGTGGAACTTGTATTGGTAGGTGTTTCCAGGTCTCAGCAAAACAGAACCATCTTTATCTAGAAAAATACAAGAAACCAAAGGGATCAGATTTGTGGATTCTTTTTCAAGCTGAAAATTAACCTTTGCTGCAGCAGCAAAGAGGAACCTTCCTCAAAGGGTTTCTAGAGGTTTCCCCTTTTTTAAAATTAAAAAAAAAAATGCAACAGCGTTCATTCCCCTTCTTTAAAAAACTCAGAAACGAGTTAGCTGTGATCTCCAGCCAAGTTTTGACAGCTAGAGCCTCTCTTCTAAAGGGAACACCTGGGTAGCTGGGGAATTCGCTTCCGATTAAAACGGATTGCTCCCAGAATTGCCTCCTGCCAGGGACATCCTGTACCACCCAAAATGTCTTGTCTTGGGAAACAGCCAACTCAGGCAAATTTTAAAAACTCCAGGATGCCCCTCCTCCTCCTCCGCACAGTTCCCTCTCTCACATGTTGGAAAGGACCTTGGAGGTCTTCTATCCAACCCCCCTTGCTCAAGCAGGAGACCTTATACCACCACTCCAGGCAAATGGGTGTCTTTCTTAAAAAGGGCATTTTAAAGATCTCTAGGGAATTGCTCTCTCCTTGGTGAGCTCTCCTTGGTTTATCAAACTTCTCTAAAAAAGAATCTGTTCTTCCTTGCACCTAAAACCTTCCTTCACTCCAAAGGTGGCAGATTCACTTGGATGAACTGGGTGGCTGTAGAAACTGAATATACGCATTCAATATATTGAAGACCCAGGCAACTCAGGGGTGCAAACTGGGTTTGTTTAGGAAAATTGGGACCTTAAGAGTTTCGACCAAAGCTTGAAAGAGTTTTTAAAATTAGATTTCATTTAAATTTTAAGGTCCTAGAAGATATTTTTAGCAGAGAAAGATTGCTATTTCTACTCCAAAAGCTTCTTTCATTCACCCCAGAGCAGGACTAGAGCCCGGCCACTCTTTAAAGAGGATCGGACTACAACTCCCATAACTGGCTGGGGAATTCTGGGAGTTGTAGTCCATCCTCTTAGAAGCGGCTGAAGGTCGAGACGCCCCGATCCAGAGGATGCCCACTCCCTCCCAGCCATGCCAAACATGGAAAGCCACCGATAGGGGCGCTCCCCCCCGCTCAGGTGCATGGGACTTGGAGTCCCCCCACTCCCCAAGCAGCCAAAAACAAAACAAAAAGCCCAACTCCTCCGCGAAGCTTCCCGCTGGCTCACCGGTGGCCTGGTCCTCCAGCTGGAGCACCGATTCGTGGCGCAGGTACTCCATCTCCTGCTTGCACTGCTGCGGGCCCCGGATCCACAGCACTCGCGCGACCCCGCAAGCGAGGAAGCGCACGGCCGAGACACGCGTGACCTCGGCCACCTCCACTTCCACGCGGCCGGCCACTTTCTCACCGCTGGAATACACGCGGCCGTTCTCTTCGAAGTCCAGCCGTAACGCCTTGACCCGCTTAAAGACCACCATGGTTTTGTGAGTCTGTGTATGTCAAATTGCAAAAACGCAAAGAGATTGCAAAAAAAAAAAAATGCAATGCCTCTCCGGACTCCCGAGACGTTCCTTTTTTAAAGAATAGGAAGAGCGAGACAGAACGAGCGGCGTATGTCACTTTTCGGAACAAACACAAACACCTCCTTCCGCTCAGCTGCTTCCCAGCTTCTGGCCGGGTCCGTGCCGCAGGCGGGGCTTTTATACCCGCTCCTGGCCTCCTCTCCCCGCCCCTCCGTTGTTGATCTCAGCGCTCGCCATGCGGCCGGCTCGTGGACCCGCGTGCTGCGCTCGTGAACAGCGCTCCCATTGGCTCCCTCGCCGAGTTTACGATCCCGGCAGCCAATCGGAGACCAGCCGGCGGCGCGTGGACACCGTGTGTGGAAAGCCCTTGCCGGCCGTGCTGAACACTCCAGCAGCCGGGGAAAACCCATCACACTGAGTGACGGTTCAGGCGACCAATCCAAATCCGTCAAAAGAAAAGAACGCTACGTCCTTCGCCAATCAGGTGCGGCGTCTCGGGTGGGGCTGTTCTAATTGCAGAAACTTCTGCTTTCTCACCTCCCCGTCCTCCTTGCTTGCATGTTTCAATTTCAAACCTGAATACGTGTATATATAAATATCTTCTCTCCTATCAATAATAACACAGGTCAGCATATTTGATAAAGGGACTGTAACTTTGGCCGGGGAACCTCTACGCTGCAATTTCTAGATTAAGGCTAAGAAGGAGCAATAATTTTGTCCAAAATAAACGGCACAGCAATGCTAAAAAAGATCCTGAGGTAAATGCGCGACGTTTTCTCAACCGCTTCTCCAATGAGGGACATGGGCGACCCATAAAAATAACATAAAAATAAAACTCAGGGCTAAAAAGTGGCCCTAAACATTTAGTAAAACAAAATTGAAGGCTTTTTTTTTTTAAAGCATCGTATAAAGTCATATATTTATTACAGATCCAAACCTGTCCGTCCAAGTGGAGCAAAGAATCCCGTGTCATCTTTTTTTTAATACACACATTTACATATAAGTGTGTATATATACCATGAAAGATAGAAAGATAAAAGCCACTTACAAGAGAATAAAACAGTGAACTCCATTTAGTAAAATACAAGTAAACACCAAGGCCCCCTTAAATAATTAGCCAATATTCCTAGATCAGAGCTGGTTGAGGATAATTTTTATTTTAAAAAGGTCAAAATGTGACTTGAAAGGCAGCATAGCCATGGGAAATGCTAGGAAATACACAAAAAACGTGATATATTTTCTAGTTTGTTTCTGTTCCTTCTATTCTCTACTTTTGGAAGCCTTTTGTGGGTTTTTTTTTACATAAAAGTGAAAATAATGATTGTGATTTATGGCTTTCATATTTAGACAATAAATTACAGAAAGAAGAATATGTAACTTTAGAGAGGCTAAACTATATTTGGACTTATATCTGCTGTAAATATAGAAAACAGCTTCTTTATATCTTTTTTCTGTTTTTCTTCAGTATTTTTTCCTTTCTAGTTTTTTAATCTTTCTCTCCTTGCGTTTTTTCTCTCTCTCTCCCTTTCTTTCTCCCCTCCCTCCCTCCTTTTTTACTTTCTCTTTCCTTCCTTCCTTCCCTCCTTCCTTTCTCCCTCCTTTCTTTTTCTCTTTCTCTCTCCTCCTTCCCTCCCTCCTTCCCTCCCTCCCTCCTTCCTTCCCTCCTTCCTTTTTCTTTCTTTCTCGTTTCTTTCTCCCTTTCTTTTTTCTTTCTTTCTTTCCCTCCCTCCTTTCTTTCTTTTTTTCTTTTCTTTCTCCTTCCTTCCTTCCTCTCCCTTCCTTCCTTTCTCTCCCTTTCCCTCCCTCCTTTCTTTTTCTTTCTTTCTCCTTCCTTTCTATCCTTTCTTTCTCTCTCCTTCCCTCCCTCCCTCCCTCCTCTTTTTCTTTCTTTCTCTCTGTTTCTTTCTATCTTTTCCTTTTTGTGACTTTTATCTTGTTTTGAAGACTTTGTAAAATTATGAAATAATTATGTATCAAAAACATAGTTTTCATCAGTTCACCAACCTGTGAAAGCAAAAGGAAACACAACCTCAGCTGAAAAGGCTGGTTGCCTTTTAGAAATGGGGCTGTACAAATAAACAGGAAGTTTCTAAGAGACAAATACACTTTAACTTTTCCTGCCTGTTTTCTCCTCTTTTCCTTATGTCTTTGTTTCACTTCCCTGCAAATTACATCCCCCCCCATTGAAATGTCATTTAGGGCAGGGGTCTGCACTGCTGCTGGGGAATTCTGGGAAGTTGAAGTTCAGAAGTCCTTAAAGTGGCCACATCTGGAGAACCCAGCTTATTAATAAAGTTTATCCCGCCACCCTTTTCATCTGGAATGGGCTTAAACTGATCTTAAGGGACTAACCCCCCTCCCCTTTCTCTTAAGCAAGTCATGCATTCTGAAAATACCCGAGAAGACTGCAGGGCCAGTAGCCAAGCCTGGCTTGCAATCCGAAACAGATTCCAGGCATAGCAGCCTCCTCAAGTGTTTTTTTGGCCACAGGACGTTTAACCTTTGGCACCCTGAACTCAACGTGGTCACCAATGTTGCCCAATGACCTGCGGGTGTGTTTGTGTCTTCTATACAGGGATGCTTAGATACTCAGAATGGATGTCAAGATGGCATCTTCTAGATCAGGGGTCTCCTACCTTGACAACTTTAAGTCTTGTGGACTTCAACTCCCAGAGTTCCTCAGCCAGCAAAGCAAGTTGAAGTCCACAAGTCTTAAAGTTGCCAAGGTTGGAGACCCCTGTCCTAGAGAACATCGATGTCCAGATTTTTACAGTGGGGAGTTTTGTGGGACTAGAAGACCTCCAAGGTCCCTTCCAACTCTTATTATTCTATCCTGCTCTATTCTATAGTCTGATCTATTCTAGTCTATAATCTATTCTGTTCTATACAGGTAATCCTCAACTTACAACTGTTCACCTAGTGACTGAAGTTCCAACGCTCTGAAAAAAGTGACTGGACAAGAAGCAACGGATGGAAACTAACCAAGGAGAGAAGCAACCTAGAAATAAGGAGGAATTTCCTGATGGTGAGAACAATTAATCAGTGGAATGGCTTCCCTCCAGAAGTTGTGAGTGCTCCAACACTGGAAATTTCTAAGAAGACACCAGGCAACCATTTGACTGGGATGGTAGAGGGTCTTTTGCCTGAGCAGGGGGTTGGACTAGAAGACCTCCAAGGTCCTTTCAGGTGTTATGATTCTATGAAAGAGAATAGCTGACTGATCACCCCTTAGATGTTCACGGGGGTGGCAACGCTAAGCAAGAAAACACCTCATTCCATAATGACTCACAACCTGAGACATCACACTCACATACAACACCAAGGGGATGAGAGTATTTGAGGCTGATGTTTGAGTCATGATATCATTTTATTCCTGATATGCTCGCAGTAGCTTCAAATACCTGTGGAGCCAGAACAAAAACAAACTTATCACATAAAATAATTTAATCAAGCTTATCAATCCCAGCTAATGTATTGCTTAGTCTGTTTTCCAAGTTTAGTCCAAGTGTCATTCTTTATTTTTATCCCGTGGCATGGATAATAAATCTTTAGCCTGGACTAGCATGTCTTGTTAATGCAATTACAAGTAGCTCTCGACTTACGACCATATTTGAGCCCAACATTTTTGTTACTAAGCAAGAGAGTTTAACTCAGTGTTGACCCATTTTACAACCTTTCTTATCACGGTTGTTAAATGAATCATTGCAGTTGTTAAATTAGTCACCCAGTTGTGAAGTGAATCGGGCTTCCCCATTGGCTTGTCAGAAGGTTATAAAAGGAGCTCACAAGACCCCGGATATGGCAACCATCATAAATATGAGTCAGTTGCCAAGCATCTGAATTTTGATCATGTGATTGTGGGGATACAGCAATGGTCGTAGGTGTGGAAAATGGTCCTAAGTCACTTTTTTCACTGCTGTTGTAACTTTGGTAATTAAATGAATGGTTGTAAGTTTTGGACTACTTGAACTCCACTTCCACTAATGGCTGTCAAGGACCTGGTTCTAATTTTCAAGGCATAGTAGGTTACAAAAGCAAGGGTGTCCAATCTTAGCAATTTTAAGTCTTATGGACTTCAACTCCCAGAATTCCCCAGCCAGCATTAGCCAAGTTGAAGTCCCCAGGTTTAGATTAACAGAGTTGGAAGGGGCCTTGTAGGTCATCTTATCCAACCCCCCATCCAAGCAGAGACCCTACCATTTCTGACAGATCGGTCTCTTCTTGAAGGCCTCGAGCGATGGCGCTCCCACAACTTCTGAAGGCAACTTCTGTTCCCCTGGTTGATTGTTCT